CTCAGTTGATTCCATTTATTTTTAAACTTCAGCTTGTTATAATCTCTTTCAGTCAGTTCTTTGAACATTTTAGCTATATTCAGCCAACCTTCCTTGTTGAAATAGGTGGTTGGCTTATTCCCGATCTCAATCTCAGTGATGCAGATGTTGCAGAAAATATTTGTAACTTTCTTATCCCACATCGCTGAGGGACCACCTTCATTTGTCTTAGACATAGTGGAACTATATGAAGAATTACATATTGCATAAAGAAATTTATATTGTAACTCAACAAGCATAAGAAAGTTCTCCAAATTAACCAACTAGAGATGAAAGAGTTGAAAGATATTGTGTCCAACAATGAACCAACATTCTCTAAATGAACCAACAACTGTGTCCAAATTTGCTCATAAAAAAAAAAACACAAAAGAATTATGTGGTTCGGTCAAAGACCTACATCCACAGTAAGACATCAAATATGTTTTATTTTCCAATTATGTAAAAGTACATAGCTATGATTCTCAATGGAGAAGAATATAACTAAAGTACATGTGTAGCAATTAAACAATAAACATCTTATATTTGATATGCAACTTCTTATACATGTCGTGGAATCCAATTCCATCGAAGCAATTGTCGAATTATCATAATGCATTTCTATTATCTAAGATGCTCATATCGACAGTCATCATCATCACCATAATGAGTGTTGTAATACAACTCATAGCTCTAAAATATATGCAGTGTATATCCTCTCTACCCTCAGCATCAAAGGAAGCTTGAAAACTCCGTAAAAATATACCAATCTGATGCTCTAAACAGTGAATAGTATTTGCATCGAGGCACAAGTCAAAAACAGTGAATAAGCAGAAACAGTTTTATTTATTGGCATTGCAAATGAAGTTGCATTGCATTGCTTCTCAAGTTTGAAAACCCTGTAAATGGCATAAACAGTGAATAATATTCCCATCATTTGCTAAATTCCCATCATTTGTCCCATCATTTGCTAAACAGTGAATAGTATTTGCATTGCAAATGAACTTGCATCTATTGTTTCTTCTCCACACCCATTTTAATGAAACAAAAAAATGTATACAACATTTTCTATCTAATGCCAGAACCATTTTAATGAATCAAAATATCTACTAAACAGTGAAACAAAAACTACACATATCCCAAATTTCATAAAAACACCCATTCAACAATTCAAAAAAATGCAATGCCGAAAAAATGTAATGCCCAAACTCTGTTAATGTTGAGAATAAACCATTTTAATGAAATTCCTTAAAAACACCCATCCAAAATTTCGTTAACAACACCCATCCAAAATTTAATAAGAACCATTTTAAGGAAATATGTAATGCCCAAACTTTCATCCAAATCTTAGATCTAGCAAAAAGTGAAACAAAAACTGCGTCCAACATGAGGCCAAAGCACAAGTGAAACAAAAACCACATTCACATTTCAGATCTAGCAAAAACAGAGAAGGCTCGAAAGCTTTGAAATAAAACTCTTTCCAAAATTCAGATTTAGCAAAAGCACCTATCCAAAATTCCATAAAAACTGCTATAACCTCCGAAACCAGCAATGGTGCATCCAAACAAAGATGCAACGAGGCACAAGTCAAGGGTCGAACAAGATCTAGCAAAATCAGAGAAGGATCAAAAACGATGGTGCATACCAGGCGGAAAACTAGGGTTTCGTTAGGAGGGCGACGACGAGAGAGAGCAGAGAGTGGAATTTTTGCCAAATTTCTCAACGGTCGCGAGGAAGAAGGCGAGGGCGAGGGGGACCGAAGAGGGGCACGGGGCGTCTTTTTCGCCCTAACGCAGGACGCGAAGGGAGGTCCGCTTCGTAACGTACGCCTTGTGCGAACGCACAATCCAAACGCCATTGCGGCGTTTTCAAACCGCCACCGCTCCCATTAAGCTGCCCCAAACAGGCAGTAGATCAACTTCTGGATATTGCACCTATGTGTGGGGAAACTTGGTTACATGAAGAAGTAAGAAACATATTTAGATGCAAGAAGTAGTGTTGTGGCAAAATAGAGAGCTATAACTGATGAAGTATGTGATATGTCATGGTTTAAAAGAAATCTTGAAGTGTTGTAGATTCCGATAAATATGGCAGTGAAATTAAACCGTGACAATAAAGCAACCACAAGCATTGTTAAAAAGTCCAGTGTAGCACGATCAAGCTTACTTTATCCCTACTGCTTAAAAATAAAAGAGAATTTTGATACACTTCATAAAAGAGAATTTTGATTCGAGTTATGTGCATGCGATTCATCCCTACTGCTTAAAAATCAGTGGTTATCTTCACCAAAAGACTATTCAAGCTTACTTTTGAGGTTCTTGTAAGCAAGTTGGGCGTGATAGATATCTATGTTCCAACTTAAAGGGAAGCTATTAGATTTTTAGGAAGATTTTATTTTTAGTATCTTCTATATTAGTTTTTTCTATTTTTAGAATTAAGATTATTGGTATGTCATAATCATTGTTTTCTTCCTTTATGATGGGGAGTTATAACTGATATTATTGTTTTTCTAATGTGGGAGTCATCTCTCTCTATTTAACTTGTAATTGTTTTCTATGAAATTAAAGAGGAATAATAAAATTTTCGTCTCCAAAATTTATATATATATGTTTGATACAAATTTGATCTAAGCATTTAAAAAGTCAGTGAGAGTTATGTATTGGTATAACAGCTTGATGAATTCAAGATCTTGTGTACTTGGGGCTTACATCGCTAATATTTGGTAAGGAATGAATCTGTGTTTGTTGTGAGTTTAACTTTAAGATGGTTTTTGGTCTTCAGGTGGCTAAGGAAATTGGATGGAAATTTATTGTTTTTGAAACTGACTCTTTAATTTTATGGAAGTATTGCAGATTTTAGGATGAGCATCATTGGAGTGTTAATCTGCAGATGAAAAGAATTAAAGATTTGTCCAAGAACTTACATATCATATGGAATCATACTAAGAGAGAAGGGAACTTGGTGGCTCATTGGGCATCTAAGCTTGGATCTAATTTGAATTATGCTGTGATTTTCAAAACTATTCCTGCTGTTTTGATTCAGTTTCCTGCTGTTTTTGTTCAATTTGTTTTTTTGTATGTTTCTTAATTATTTTTTGGTTTGTTTTTTTCTTTTATCTTTTCTTTGGTGTTTTGTATTTTTAGCTGGTGGGTGTATTTTATTTTTCTTTTTTGGAAAGATGCCCTTTTTTATTGGTGTTTTGTAGGGTGTGTGAGTTAGGACCTCTTTCCCGGTTTTGTTATTTTTCTTTGTGTTAATAAAATGAGTGCCGATTTATGCTCTTTAAAAAAAAAAAAAAACTCAAAGAATTTAACATTTTGTTTAAGCTTCTAGTTTTCTAAGGCTCATGGCTTTGTCTTGCCTTGATGATGGATCAGTGTACATGCAAGGGCTTATTTGTTTGGACTTAATAGAAATGTTCCAAGAAATTTGAACTTGTTGGTTTGGTGCCTTTTTGCTAGCTTGCCTTGAGATTGTATTTATCTTTTAAAGGTTTATGCTTTGGTGAGCCCTATGTTGAATCAACCACAAGATTGAGGTTTAAATGCCAAGAATGTCTATGAATAAGACGTCTGACCTTAACATGAAGGTGGCCCACAAGCCAGACTTATGTTCTTTTTTGTAGGGTGGCATAGCTTGCCACACATTTTATTGATTTGCACTTGTTGGCTTAAAATCATTTGCCTTAATTTTTTTATTCAAATTTGTCAAGATAGGTTTGTTGATTAGAAGCTTTTGATTTTTATCTTGGGCAGGATAGGTAGGACTTACTGCCCTTATTTTATGAAGGCCCAACATTAGGGCATGTGACCCTAGTGTGAGGGATTCTTGAGGCTGAACTGTTTGTATATATTTTTTTTTTGTGTTTTTTAGGCTTGTAATTCTATGCTGATTTTGTTGGAGCTCATGTATTTGATATGCTTGTGGCTTTGTGTGGATCTTGTTGTTTTGATGGTTTTATAGGTCTTGAAGAATATGGCTGTTTTGATATGTCCAACGTTTTTCACTTTTACTTTAATTAATATTTGATGCTTAATAGATACTTGATTTAAGATGTGAGAGTTACGATCTTTATGAGCTGCATAATATTGAAGTTTTACTGTCCTTATTTGAGGAATGCTCAATGGTGGGATTTATGACTTTGATTTAGGTCGATTTATTGGTGTCTTATAAGTGCGGCAACTCAAAGCTATAATTTGATTGTATTTGGATTTAGGTTGATTTTGTTCTCAATTTAACTTGATGGAAGGTTTGGAATTATAACCTAGTTTTAGAGAAGTCCAAAAAATTGATGATTTTCATGCGAGACTTACAACCCTTGTTTTAAGTGACTTTATGTTTTGGGCTTGATATGAGCTTTTTGATTTTTGGGAGCTTGGACTTAACAATTTGATGTTAAAGTAGGCCAAATGGTTGAAATTTACAAATCTAGGGTTTTAGAGATGTTTGACAACCCTGATTTGAAGGAAGCCGTTGTCAATTGATTTTGTTTGATCTGGAACTGATGAAGAGATTTGAAAATTTACACATTGAATTGGTTTGATTAGGCGTGGTCCTTTTTAAGCACGCAAGGACTTATGGTTGCTGATTTTGTAATATTTTAATATTTTGACCATTGTTTGCCATTTTACAAATATTTGACATCTGGAGTCCTCAAAGTGAAGTAGGCTAGCTCTGCGGTTCAGTGAGGTTAAAATGAGGTTCCATGTCCTTTGTGGACCTGCAAAGGACTCCCTTGAGTTTGGGAATTTTTAGGGTTTAAGTGAATGCTTATTAATTATTAAACCTCTGAGCTTTTTTGGGATTTTATCAGGCGTGCAAAGAACTGAACTTAGTTGTTTTTTTTTTGTCTGTTCAACTTTTTCTGTGGAATTGTTTGGTCCTTGACCTTCGATGGAACATCATTCAATGCTCGAGGTAATGCCTTTCTGATTTATTTGCAAGCCGTTAACATTAGCCTCATGTATACACTTTGCTTCTTTCAGGTGAATGCAGTAAAGTTCAATGAGTATGGATCTGTGGTCGTATCAGCTGGTTATGATCGATCTGTGAGGGCATGGGATTGCAGATCTCATAGTACTGAGCCTATTCAGGTTTGCAATTTAGAAATCCAACTAATTAGATAAGACACCCATCATTCTGATTAATAGATAGTAATAAATTGTATTTCACGCATGATAAATAACTTAAGATTTATTTTCAGATTATCGACACATTTATAGACAGTGTCATGTCTATTTGCTTGACAAAAACTGAAATTATAGCTGGAAGTGTTGATGGAACTGTTCGCACATTTGACATTCGAATTGGTAGGTGAGTGGTTTGGATAGAATCACATCAGTGAGTTCTCATTATATTTAGTTCTATTTTCATTATTTTGTTCCCTGCTAAATTCAGATTTTTTGAGTTTAAGTTCATTAACCTTTCATATTTCATGGACTAGGGAACTTGTTGATGACTTGAAGCACCCAGTTAATTGTATCTCCCTGTCAAATGATGCTAACTGTATACTTGCTAATTGCTTGGATTCTACACTCCGTCTTCTTGACAGGTGAGAATAAATGACTGACAGCAATTCCTTTATATCAACTCTAAAGTTTCTAACCAAATAACTTATTGGTAATGGCAGGACCACTGGTGAACTCCTTCAACAATACAAGGGCCACATTTGTAAGGCATGAAGATCCACAGTTAAATTTCATTTCACTAATATTTCTGATATATTTTCTAAGCTCTTTTGACCCTTGGTATCATTTTAAAACTTGCTTATTAAATATTATAAATTAGCTGGCAGTTTAATTTTAAAGTAGACTACCTTTTTGTGCCTCAAGAAAAGAAGAAAACTTTTTGCAAGATTATTTGTTTATGAGAACTTTCTGTATTGCTTTGTAGTCATACAAAATGGATTGCTGTCTTACAAATACTGATGCCCACGTAACTTGTGGATCTGAAGATGGTTTTATTTATTTCTGGGATTTAGTTGATGCATCCGTAATTTCAAGATTCCGGGCCCATGCCTCTGTTGTAAGTTTTTATTACTTGATTAACTAGCCTATTTACCCGTGTATTGCTTTACAGTCTTTCAATTATTGATTCCTTTGCTATGCTTAAGCTTCTCCTTCCATGTTCAATTTTCTTAGAGCTTGCATTATTTCTATGACTTGCCTTTTTTGAACAGATCAGGCTTCTTTTGGGTTTGTTGCGCCTATTGGTGTTAATTGGAGTAAAACTCTGTTCTTATTGTATTGGTAAATATACAAGTGGGGAAATTCAAATTTATGCAAGCTTAATGAGGGACATCCAGGATATTGTAAATTTGTCTGACATCAAGCCCTTTGAGTCTAGATCCTATATGAGACTTCTATCTTTTTAATACAATTCTAGATTATATATATATATATATATATTGACGATTGCCCTTTTAACAAACACTCAATCAACCAAAAGTAATGGACAGTGTAGGAGTTTTAAGGGGAAATTATGGAAAAGAGCGACAACTTCAATTTGGGAATTTTAGGGTCCTAGATTTACATTTGTATTCAAATGAGAAGAAATTTATTTTTATCATGTGTTATGATCCTTCATCTACTTCCTTTCCCCACATGTATGTAAATCTATTATGATTATTCACCTCACATATTTTTGGTTTAACAGGCCATATTATTGCCTACTGATTTACAAACCACATTCCCACCATGAAGACAATAACTTTGCAATCATTACAGGGTTGTCAATCCAATGTACCATAAAATTACTTTGACAGCCCATATTACCAACTATTTCATCAGTAGTGGCTTTACTCTTTTCCTTTATG